GTTGGCAGGACTTGCCCTAAGCATTTTCATAAGACTTTATTTGGGACGCGGTCGCGTGCCAGACAGCAACAACATAAATCAGAGTGAAACCCCCCTATAAAAGGCATCCAAAACTAACCCCCAATCCCTTCTATTCTCCATTTTAGATTGCCATCTTCGCCTACGACCGCTACACAATGCCCGCCCAGAACTTTGGGTTCCCCGTTCCGATTCCGTCGGACTCGGTGCTGGTTTATCGGCCAGACAGGCGCCTCCAGGTGTGGCGCTTCTTCAGCTACATGTTCCTGCACGCCAACTGGTTCCATCTGGGCTTCAACATCGTCATCCAGCTGTTCTTTGGCATTCCTTTGGAGGTGATGCACGGCACTGCCAGGATTGGAGTCATCTACATGGCTGGCGTTTTCGCCGGATCCCTGGGCACCAGTGTCGTCGACTCGGAGGTGTTTCTGGTGGGTGCAAGCGGTGGCGTCTATGCCCTTTTGGCCGCCCACTTGGCCAACATCACACTGAACTATGCGCACATGAAGAGCGCCTCTACGCAACTCGGATCCGTAGTCATCTTTGGTGAGTTTCACAAAATATTCTCTTAATAAGGTCATAACTTTTTAAAATAATATTTTTAAATACAATCCTAATGATAAAGAAAACTATATATTGTATTTTTATGATTGTATGGAGATTTTTAAAGTTTTTTTAGTTCGTTCTAAAGAACTTATTTTATCTGCAGCTCTGTTTTATGATTAAACTAACTTGAACCCTTTTGCTTCTTTTATTTTTAGTTTCCTGCGATCTGGGATATGCTCTGTACACCCAATACTTCGATGGCGGTGCTTTTGCCAAGGGTCCCCAGGTGTCGTACATCGCACACCTAACGGGAGCTCTGGCAGGACTCACGATCGGATTCCTGGTGCTGAAGAACTTTGGTCATCGGGAGTACGAGCAGTTGATCTGGTGGCTGGCTTTGGGCGTATACTGCGCCTTCACAGTGTTTGCCATTGTTTTCAACCTGATCAACACGGTCACTGCCCAACTGATGGAGGAGCAGGGCGAAGTGATTACCCAGCATCTGCTGCACGACCTGGGAGTGTCCTAAATATGTGGCATGGAATAGCTAGGATCTTCGCAAGGATTGAGATGCAGCTTCAGGAGAGATCGAGAGACAGAGAGTTGGTGGAAAAGAAAAGTTCACTCAACGATTTAGTTCAAAACTAAATTCGAAATTCGTTTGGCTTTTGCTTTTCGTTAGCATTACCGTTATCGTTACCGTTTGCAGTTACCGTTAACCGTTTCAGTTCCGAAACACCATACAAAAACTCAAAAAAGAACACACTGGAAAATTATAAGAAAAACATAAACCGAAGCCGAAACGTGTAAACAAATGTTGTGATAGAACCAAAGACTGAATTTATTTCGCGTGTAAAAACAAAGTAAAAATCAAGAAACAAACTAATCGCCTCTCGCTATGATTTAAATTAACCTATTATCCATGTTTTCATTTAATGGTTTTCGCCTGTTTTCTTAAATTATGTATTTATTGGCCGCAATTACTCTGAATGAATCGAAGCATCAGCAAACTATATCAAATTGTTTATACATCCATAAGCATAATCTGTTCTCGAACTATGTAGGTCTTAGCGATATATACATATACTTACCTAGGTATAACTAGCCCCCTAACAAATTGTTTCAAATTGTAAATACTATTAAGTCGCACACTAGTCAAACAAAAAAAACGATGGAAAACCACAGCAAAGAACCATTCAATTCAGATCAATTAGGCAAATCGAATTAAATTAAATTAAAGTCACTTAATGCGTTACAAAAGCGAACAAATATTTATCGTAATCCCCTACACACACAGACACTCAAAAGTATTACTAATTATATTTATTTATTGTAGGGCAGCGAGGGTTTATTAATTTGTCAATCGAGCCAACTATTTATTTATTTATTTAATAATTTAGTGAAATTCACACAAAACAAGCACGAAAAAACAACAAGAGATAAAAAAACAAAACAAATTCAACTGTAAAATATCCAATTGAAAAATACACACGAAAAGCCAAAGAAAATAAAAATCAAAACATTTCAAGAATACAAAAGAAATACAAAAGCAACAAAAGCGTTTTCATTTCCCTCATTTTTCTTTCAGTTTTTGGTTGTCGGTTTTGCCCACAATTTAAGGGCAATAAATAATCAAGAAAAGATTATCAAGATACTTGACATATTGACCGATACACACAAACACACTAAATCGCCAGAATATATAGATAGCAATGTATATCGTACGCAAATAGTGAAATATTCAAAGTAATCGCAGAATGAAAATAGCTAATCTGGCATAAAAGCCAGCAAAGCATAAGCCCAAATAGAATCCTTGTGGGCCCCAAAAACCCCAAGATAGCATATTCGATTTTCAAAATAATGGAACTACAACCACCCCAATACAGGCCCTCCCCCAAAAAACTAGGAAACGGAAATGTTCAGCCCGAGACAAGACAAAACCAAACAGAAAAAAAATTATACAAAACTAAATAAACAGAGAAAAATTGAACAAAAATAAATGTCTAAATTATAAATGAAATTCTCGTTTTCTTCATAAATAACTTAGGGCGGTAAAGCATACGATATGTGGGTTGGGGAAATTCAATCAATATTTGCTCCACATAAATATGAGCTGGAATTCAAAGCGAAATACTGCAACTAAAACTTGAGGAAAATCCTTAATTAATACCCACTCCGAAGAAGACTTGTGTCAACGAATTTTCCCGTTCGAAGGGTGAAAACTGTCGTCCCCCAATCGATATCTGCTCTATATAAGTGTGAGCCGTGGCAAATTGAAAAGCCCACATGAAATATGAAGGCATAGCGTAAGAACTCGGTAATAATTCATATTGTCATTCAACATCGCTTTCAATTCTGACGGATTAGCAGGACTTTAATCCATGAATTTTCAAATAAGCATTCCACTTGAGGGACTTTCGTCGAATTAAACATCATAAGTAGCTGTTCTGTTGGTTACTCGGCTAAAAGATACCTATTATACACTGATAAACGCACAAAGTCAAATTGCTTTTCAACTTAATTGATTTAGCCATGTACTTTATTGACTTACTAGTTTCATTCTGAGCGCTTCAAGAATTTGGTTCTTAATAGACAATTCAGATAAACAAAATGCCTTTATTTTCTGTTGAGAACCACAGGGTAATTTGCACATTATGAATGGTCTTGAATTCTCATTTATTAATGATGGATAATCAAAGAAGCGTTACTAAATCAAAGACGCATGCACAGCGTATTGTAAGAAAAGAAATTCAACTTGAATTTAAATCACTTAAGTCCCACAAAAACTCGTATACATCGTTGTGAAAATATACTAATTTTGGGGGCCTGCGAATCACCATTAATTAGTTTGCATAATCAGAGATGCCTGATTGCACCTGCCAATTAAATTCCACTTAAATTATACAATTACCAGAGGGACAAGATATAGCAGATAAAGCAGATGTGCCTGCAAGCTTAGTGCCATTGGATTTGGGGGCGGAGTAGACACGCCGGCACTTGCAACTCCACTTCAAGCGACAGACAATGCCAGGCCAAACCAATCCAATCCAATCCAAAACGCACGCGGAGAGTCTAGGCATTTGGTGGAGCAAGATTTATGGGACACAGGAGCTGCCGCCTCGTGGACATCAAATTGAAATTCAGGCACAATGTCAACAGCAATCGGGGACGAGGTCAGACAGGCTCAGACCGCGACTTGGAATCCAGAGCAGGCTCTCTGAAGCCGAAAAATCCACATAAATAACGCGGGCATCCAACTGCTCCCCATCCCGATGGCCACTGCTCCTTCACGTCCAGCTTGTTTCTGCGAATGGCAGGTGCAACTCAATCAACGCTCCACTCCACGTCTCGCCGCGGTGTTGCCACAACGTTGCATGTCATCTGTTCGGGTCTCTGGAGCTGTGGACAGAAGCTGCGGCTTCGACTGGGAGCCACCTGCCCAAAAGTTGACTTTGGACGTTTTTGTTTACATTTGGCGGAAAGGTGAAGTGCGCAGCGAAAAGCTGCCACGGAATGGAATGAAGTCGGAGTCGGAGTCGGATACAGAACTCAACTGAGGAAGCTGGTAGCAAGTTTCGAGTGGGTATCACAGATCAACGATCTGCGGGCAAAAAGACCTCCAACGAGAACCTCCAAGGGTTCAATGTTCCTAAGAGAACTCCAAAGGGAAGCGATGACCTGGAAGAGGTGCTCGGTCATTTAGGTTTTTTAAGATCCAAAAACAAGTGTTTATCTATCTACTTAGTGGAAGGAATCAAGTTTTGAAATAATTTGCATTATAATTTTGTTATTCCATCAGGAATTTGTAAGACAAATTCTTGATCTAAAGATTTACAAGCATTACCGCTACAAAGCAAATTAAAAATGTATTCCTGTTTTAAATGAAGAAATACTTACAAATAAGCCTGTAAGAAACTAAAAGAATGACCTTTACATGTACTTTAAAACATGACGTAAAAAGTGATTAAAAAATAATAAAGGCCACCATAAATTTAATTACTATCAAGCAAACTCCATCAAAACAAACAACTCTCCCGCAACGACCTTCTAAATAACTGCTGAAAGGCATTCTTCTAAAAGTTTGCGATTTCTTCAATCAGTTTCAATGAATCTGAACAGACTGCCGATGCAGGACCACCTATCAAAGCATAACCTTATCGAGGCGACGAGTGCTCCTTAATGTGTCGAGACTTTGACCCTGGGAAGCAATTATCCCTTCTGGTCGATAGGCTCGATCACCCTGCTCGGCATGACTCTGTGCAGACTTTCCATCGACCGTTTTGCGGCTCAATTAGGCGGCGGAGTTTCATCTACCTGATTTGAGGAGTCCTCGGACTCCAGAGTCTCTTTTTCGGGCTACCCAAGTAGCAGCACGCTGGGGCGCTAATTGAAGGGAACGGAGCAAAGATCAGAGAAGAAAGCCAACTCAAAACAGATCAGAAGCATTCGTTCATTAATAAATAAAAATATGTCTAACTACATTAATCCTCGCTCAAGGGCAAGTCTCTGGAATCGTGGAGCATCAGCTTCAGACGGAAGGCGTCCACCCCGTTCATGTAGTAACGCAAAAGTCGCCGCTCCCGAATGAATCCAAGACTTTGATAGAGAGCCAATGCAGGTTTGTTGGTCAGCTCCGTTTCCAGGACAATCATGGCTGCATTCTTCATTGCCATGGCATCGATGGCCATTTCAGATAGAGCCCTTCCAATACCCCGCTTCCTATACTCCACATCCACCGCCAGCATGGCGATGTAACCCTGCAGAAATTCCCCTAATATCGATTCCAGCTTGCACACTATCACGCCCACATAGCGACCTCCATCCAAGGCAAAGAAGCAAAGATCTGGCCAGTTGTACACAAAGTAGCGATATGTGTAAATGGAGTACGGTTCGGATAGCTCCTTGTCTATGAGACTCTGCAGAACACCGAGGTGCGATTCTTCTTGAAACACACAAAAGGTATACTGCTTTAAAACTTTTTCTTCAACCTTCAAGGTTTCCTCAGTAGACGTTGGCTTTTCCTTCGCCGCAAGAACGGTTTTCTCTGGTGAGCCATGACCATCTTTCACCTGAAGAACTTCTTCCTCTACAAAAGTAGGATGATCTTTTTCCACAAGATCTGTTTCCTCATAAGAGGAAGTTTGATCCTTCTTTAGAAGAACTGCTCCCGATGCATCGTCCTCCATTGTTGACGACTGTGTTAAAAATTTTACAAAAGTTTTGCTAAATTTCGAATGGCTGAGAAAAGCTAACTGAGGGAAACAGAGGTTTTGACTTAATGTTTGTAAAAATAAAATAAGAGTATTAAAATCGGAAAGCGCAAAAATTCGAATAACGAAAATATAAATCAAGACATAATTTATCAACCCAAAACCTTTAAGCAATATTAACAAATGGAAAAGAGAAACCGAAGCAAGAGAGTGAAAATGTCGTGAAAATTCCTTGCGCGACCTTGGTGGCAAGGCACTCGCACAAATCCCAGCAGGTGACACTCGGCGTGGCAGGCTCTAAATAGCATTACCCCGACTCCCGACACGGTTCCCACTTCGCCCAGCTCCATTTAGGGCAATTAAGAGGCACGCCTGGGACATGAACCGGGTCGGGGGAAAGAAAGAACTCCCTGAGCATGTGAAAATTATGAAAATGTCTGCCACGACTTTGACAGTTGCCCTCGTAGAGGAATCCTTTGTTGTCTGTGCCAGGACGAGGACGACGACGACGAAGAATACGGAATTGCCGCCGAGCACGCACAGGTGTTCGCCAGGTTGGTGGTGGAGCTACCTGGAGCTTCCAGGTGGGTGGTGACAGCTCTGAGCCAAAGCTTCACCCTCGGCTTTGCATATATGAAAACTAATTTCGTGTATTAGGTTCGTGTTGATTGTGTTTCCCGGTCTCTTTCCCCTTGCCGGGCTTCCTATTTTACATCCGGATGAGGAAGTGCTCCCCCAAAATGAAGCAACAATGACCTCATGTGACCAATGGTTAATGGAGGGAATGCAACAGAAGCAATTAACCTAAAAGGTCCATAAAGGACACACACAAGGTGGGAGGGACTCGTTTTTGGGGTAACTTAATACCGGCCTTAAGTCATTTTCTGGTCGAAAATCAGATTAGCTTGGCTATAACTAAAACATTGCTTGTTTACTTACCCCGCACTTTGATTTGAGGCCAGTCGTGTTTGATTTGTGTCCCATTTTTCCATCGTTTGAAAGGTGTCCACGATTCTTCGAAAATCCCTTAGCAGTGGTTTAATTATTGCTGGTTATGCAACACGACAAAGTTTATTGATCCAATAAATTCGATACTTTTGATTAATACTTGTTTATGTCTCATTGCATATATATAAATGAGAATTTAGATCATTTTTAAATGTCTCTTAAAGAAAGTTTGAATAGCGGCTTTTGAATCTATTAACATTCTTTTGTTTCAGTTTCATTTGCATTTGTTAGCCTTATCGTTACGCCAGCTCATTTTATGCTACTCATTCTTTTGATTTCATAACTGGAATCCTTTCTAGATTCTTTCTCCGACTTCTTGTGTTATTATCCCTGCCACTCGAATCCCTTTTATAATTGCTCCTGTGGCACGGAAAACTCTTTCTCCCGCTCCTCGGTCGCATTTCTAAGCTTTTTCAAATACCCGACTGTGGCAGAAATTAATTACACTGCCAGGACATAAGGACACTTGGCCCAGGACAGGGAGTTCATGGAGTGTTTAATGAAGCGGTTTAAGTGGCGGGTTTGCGGGGGAAAAGCGGCGTTTCACAAAAAAAGGCGGCCAGGCCAACAAATTTCCATATTTGCCCGTTGTCGGCGCCGGCGTCGAGTGAGATAAATGGATGGAGGACAAGTCCTGGGGCAGTGCTCGTCCCCCTTCCCTTTTCTTTCCACCTGAAGTGGACTTTTTGTCCAGTGGAGTTCATTGAAATGAATAAGGAAGAGGGGCGACAAGAGGTTACTTCTTTCGTTGCTGTTTCGGCTTGTGTTTGGGCTGCCAATATTTCAGTTGGCCTTATGACAGCTACAAGTGCGCCTCTTGATAAGCATTCCGACGATCCCAGTCCCCATGTCCATGCTGCGGATAAAGCGACGACAACTGGACGATGTGAGCTGCGAGATGTGTGAGGTTTCCTCGCAAGACAAAAGGCATATTACAGGTTGCAAGTTGCAAGTTGCAGGTTGATTGCAAGCTCGCGTGGGACGCACTCTTCATGGCTCCGCTGGACATGGTCGCGTGCTCCATTGTTTGTGTGTTCCCTGGAATTCCCCGATTCCGATTCCGCATGAATATGTCAATGTAATGATCTCCGTCGTCTGGTTGTTCTTCTGGTCGGTTCGCATCTGTGGAATTACATAAATATTAACTTGTACTTTTTATAAACATGTTTGCGCACCAGAAACTGCAGTTTGCCGTCCTGGTCTTGTTGAATTCCGAGCGAAGGAAGGCTTCGATTGATATGATTTATACACTAAAGACCATTCCAGACTGGCTTCATTCTTGAGGAGTAAGTTAAGTGCAGTTCAGCAAGTTAATCTATTGACTATAGCAAGACATTAAACCTGATTTTTAAGTATTTCTTAGGGAGCAATCGCATCAAGGGCATAACCACAAATTAAGTTCTTCTCTTTTCTTTATAATTTTAAAAGTTACAATAAAACTTAATCTTAAACTAATCTTTAAATCCAAAAAAAAATGTTGCCTAATGAAAATTATTAGGATATTAGGATAAGCTAGAATTTGAAACATATTTAATATGTACAACATTTTTACAAAATGTATATATTTTTTAAGACTGAACAATTGTTCAAGATCTTTTAGCTAGAACTGTTGTTCTTACCTTTTTTCCAGTTTGTGTTCTTTTTTTCAGTCAGTATATACGTATACGTCTCCTTCTGACTCAAAATTAGCCCAACCCCACATTAATCAGCGTCAATGGGAGCAGCTCCTGGTGGACAGGAGGACTAAAAAGGACGCAGTTGCGTTCCTGTCACATTTTGCATTTGTTTTTCCGCATTTTTTCTTCTTCTTCCTCCCACCGCGGAAAATTGTGACAAGACTGACGAATGACTTGGCGGCGAATTGTGCTCAAACAAACATAAATTCGGTGTCCGCTGGGATTGGAATTTGTTGACTGCTCCTCCGGCTGGCTGTCCCAACGTTTTCCCAATGTCCTGGCCAAAAGCACGCAAGGCAAAAAGCCAAAGTTAACACACGAACGAAGGATTGTCCCAGGTGCACGCGTGTCGCGTCGCGCGAAATTGTAGTTTTTGCCAACGGATTGTGTCATAACTCATGGAAATGATAAGGATGGATGGCCCAGCCTTATCGGCCAGCACGCGAATCGGTTAAATCGCACTATAACTCACTTTTTAAGCCAATTTAAACAAATTTTCACGGAAGCACTAATGAAATGACGCGTTTTAATGCCGATCGCGACCAGTGAGTCCACACTGCGATCAGTGGAAAACCAGGTGGCATCTTTGCCACTTCAAAGCTTTAACCCTTCTGCATTTTTCGACTATGGCGGCCAGTGTACACACACCACAAAACATTAAGCCCTTGATTAACTTTAAATTATTTGTTTCAAGTTTTAAATTTTAATTTTATTTACAAGTAAAACAAACTGTGTAAATACAAAATATGTATATTTATGCTTTTCTCTTTGGTGCTTGTTCTTAATGTATCCCCTAAAGCTGGCAGTGCTGATTTACGCTCGGCTATATCAAATTGAAACCGATTTAATAATCTTTTTTTTCTATATTTAATATTAATCATCAGTAGTGATCTTGAGGTAGTTATCTCAATTTGTTGTAAGGCCTGTGAATTTAGAATAAATAGCTTGCTTTGCCAATATCGGTTTCCATATAGCCCTTAAAGCATTTATATAATTAAATTTTTTTTGTATGTTACAGATTATTGTGGAGTTTTAATCTTAGCTCATATAAAGTCTTCTGATTCTGCAGTTTCACTTAAGTATATATAGAAAATGTGGAATTCCTTGAGCATTATGTTACACCTAATCAGTTCGATTTGTTGTAAATATTCTCTTACAATTCTTACGATATATTGTTTGTACTTAACTAGCAAACAAAACAAAATAATTTACGCCGAATGGCAAGTAAGCATACGAGATATATATCCGATCCTTCAGATACAGTGCTAACAAAACAATAAACGGGAAACCTAATTGACGTCCGAAAACAATAAAAACTTTAACGGAACGCAATAAACAAAACGTAAGCAAACTACCAATTAAAGACAAAACTAGGAATGAATTCTAATCATCCTGTTGAAATCCTCCAGGGACATCACACATGAAAATCGTTGAAATACGTTTCCGTCACTCGGATCTTTTCCACGCGAATATTGAACATGGCAAATCCATTCATAATGTTGAAGGCGATGGCAAAGACCACCAGAGCTGAGTATGTTCCCAAGGCGATCCACCAAAGAAGCTGCTCGTGGAGCTTCTGCTCAAAACTTTTGAGAACCAGCAGTCCAATAGTTAGGCCAGCTATTGCTCCTGCCAAATGGGCCACAAATGAAACGGCAACCACTGTTTCAGCTTGATCTATGGCCACGACTTCACTCGATGATCCCAACTGCAGTTCATCGCCAGCATAGCGCGCATAAATGGCAAACCCAAAGTCAAAGGAAACTGTAAATAGATGTCATTATGATATAATATACATTCATTGATTTTATGTAGAAGAATAACCCACCGAAAACCAGAATGTGAAGCAACTTGATGACTCCGTAACGCATCTGATGATAATTGAGCAACACATTCGCCAGATGAGCGGCCAGCAGAGCGTAAACTCCCCCGCTGGCTCCCACAAGAAACACTTCCGGATCAAAGATGCTGGTGCCCAAGCTTCCCGCCAATACTCCCGAAAAGTATATGCAGGCGATCCTCGTGGATCCATGGACCATCTCCAGTGGCAGGCCAAAAGCCAGCTGCACGGCTACATTGAACCCGAGGTGGAGCCACCCAGCATGGAGAACCATATAGAAGAGGAACCGCCAAATCTCGTGCCGCTTATCCGGGCGGTAAATAAACATGGAGTCCGAGGGTATGGGTCCTCTTGGAGCAGCCTCACCCGTGACAACAGAGTGATACACAAAAAAGCCCAGCTGGTGGAAAAACAATATAACATTAAGGTTTTGTAAAAGGTGAAGTCATTTTTTAACCCACCTCTACCACAGTGACCAGGATAATGAAAAAGGGCGGCGGGCAGCAGGTGTATCGATCGGCGTAGTACTTGCGATCGCGCTCCTCGGGCAGGATCTCCATGGCCACGGCGTGCACCATTTTCCGGAAGAGTGGCGGTTCGTTTAGCACTAGCTGGAAATCGTTTTCTGAGCAGACTTCACGATCTCGATGGTGTACGGCGCATTTAAAACTACGCGTCCGCTTGCCGCTCATCTGCAATTTAGTTTTGAAAATTAATTAACCTACAACTCATAATCAGTTAAATGTGAAAATGATAAAGGAGCAACACCTTAAATTAAGGTTTCTGTGAAGGTATGGAAATTTTCATCAAGGGTAAATCGATAGTTTTTATAATTTTTGCCTTTTATGTAAGGTACAAAAGTAAACCTTCTATCCCAGTAAGCTAGTGCACTAAAATCATGAATATTTCACTGGAGACCGCTTAAAACTTCAGTCTCTCGACAATCCCATTAGAATACGGATCATAGCTCATACCTAAAATATTTTATAAATTAAATTTTCTAGTTTTTCAACTCTTTTCAAAATGTCGAAAATTTATCTGAAGGCGATGGAGGAGGTGGTGCAGCGCAATACGGACAACTCGAACCGGATTACGGAGCAGGCGCAGGGATTTGTGGTTTCGGAGAATGCAACGGATAGTCTGCTCCACACATCCTTCGATCTGACCACGGCCCAGGGGATTGTGAAGCACCTGCACACCAGTTTCCTAAAGTTAGCCCAGAGTTGCGTCCGTGATTTGGATCCCGAAGATAAACTGTGCTTCCTGCGCGTCAAAACCCGTAAACACGAGTTCCTAGTTAGTCCAGAGGAGTGCTTCACGGTAACTGTGGTCTTGTAACCGCCCCGCCCCGCTCATAAGACGAAAAGGACAAATACTTGAACACACCCACATGGCTACTGCTGCCCCACTCGCACTTTGCTGATGTTGTTGTTGCAGATCGTCGTATATCTTTAACCCCCCAAAAACTAAACGAGCCATAAAATTATGAACAGAACATTTATGCGTGTGACTGGCCAAACTAAATTATGTTTATTATGTAATTAAGATGTTAGCAGAGATGCCCCGATGACGGCCATTAAACCAACCACAAAGCGGGCAAAAATCCGCAAAAAGCGGAAAATGTGTATTGTCTTTAATTAAAAGTTGGGACGGCATACAAATGAAGCCTACACGCAATTAAAATGTCTGATTACGATTGCGAAAGAAAAAGGTCACAAATTAAGCCTGCCTCGGCCTCGGGGCAAAAATAGTAACTTCCGCCTGCTTTGGTAGGGGGAATTTATGGAGCTTTTAGTTAATCGGAGCTAGTCCGACAGTTTTAACAGTAGTAATTTTCAAATTTTTTTAATTGATAAATTTCCTCTAGACAACTGGAAGCTGTGGCTCCAGCGTACGGAATGGACGATGTAGGGTGGCAACTCTGGCTTTTACGCTGATTTCTGTGCAAGTAGTTTTTAATCGTTTTAAACCATACTAAAGTTTAATTTTATTTTTTTTTTCATCAATTGTAACATTAATATTGGCAATATTTACATACATACATATGTATGTATATTACATAATCAAACACACCGAAATATTTAACTTGCATGTGGGTGCTTTTTCTTACGGTAAATTCATTGACAAACTAAACTCCACTTTCTTTAATTTTAGATCAATTAAGGACTTACGCGGTGAAATCACTGTTTCCCGATGTGATATTTTATTTTGCTTATAAATTAGTCATTACGTTTATTATTTAATCACAATTAACACATAAAACTAAAGACAACTTTCCCGCCAGCGTGCGTAAGTTTCCGCACTGCGCTTTTCACTCTCATTCCGCTTGGCCCAGTGCTGCAAAACAATGTTGCTCAATGCCAGCTGACTTAGAACCGCCAAGATCAAAAATATTCAAAGTTTACTTCCGATTTGGGCCAATTTCTGGGTATTAAATTGTTACTATACGCAGACAAAGGGCGCAAAAAATCTATGTTGTCAACAATGGGAACTCCCACACGCATTGTGGCCGGGTGACAAATCGCATTTTTCGGCAAGATCAAGCGATCACAACAAAGTGCCAACAGGGCCAATAGGGGAAAATTGTATTCCCAACAAATAATTGCTTATCGTTTGTTTGGCGGGCTCAGGCTGCTGCGGCTGATAATGTCATTATCCTGGACGCAGGAAAAAGGAGTCCTGCCCGCCGCATGACGTCCACAGGTAGGCGTCTCCCCTGTTATTTAACAGTGGTAAAAGTCTTTACAGTCGTGTTCAAAAAATAATGGATATTTTTACTTTCAAAATAAAGCACTGGTTTTAATAATAATAATTAAATAACTAACTCGCATTATAACATATTACAATTAAATGTAACATAAATAAATTTATAAATGATGATATGGTGAAGACACCATTTTTTTTAGTACAACAAAAAATATCTTTTAATAAATTTTAAATGATAATGCTTTACACTTCGGCGGTTTTAGTTCATAAAAAAAGTATAAGCCAACTGTCAATTGACCCAAAGTTTATTTTCATGTTTTATAATAATTAATTTTTAATTCTGATATTCAAATAACTCATCTTTAATATCCTTTTTGATAGAAATTTTTACTAATATTATGTCCGTTGCTGTATTCTAGCCTCGTTCACCTTTTGCAGGACTGGTCGACAAATTGACGCAAAACATTTAACGCTTGGGATTGGGTCAGCGGGCATGGTCAAACGGCAGACAGGAGCGAGGAGAGAGGAGTGAGGAGTGAGGGAAAAGGACCACAGGACGACGTTGGCGGCCCTCTGTGAGGCACAAAAAATTCCTTTGAATTGCGTCCGTTGCAGGAGAAATACACAAACACGGCGATATGTATTATCCGTATTTTTGTTGCCGGCCTGTGGCTATGCGCAAAAAAGGACATCTCCTCCGGCGGTTGCTCCGGTGGCAGGATGATGGCGGTCCACAGGATCGGTGGTTCAGAGGTTTGGAGGTATTGTGTGCCTTCTATTATGCATTGCGTACGGCTTCGCCCGGCGTGTTGACATTTTTATTCCAAACAGTTGAGCAATATTTATAAACTGGCCGGAAAAAAAGGTGCAGGAGTATGGGGAGGTCGTGCATGGTGCATGCCCAATGGCTTTATTTCCGGGTGACCATGTAAAACGTCCTCGTGGTTTGCAGCTTATTAAATGAGCTATTTGATTAACAATGTTCTGTGCTTGCTGTTATGGCTAATGGAAGGACAAAAGCGAATCTTTACAACATGAACACAGGGAGCACCATAAAATGTGTGCAAGAAAAAATTCCTTTTTATGGCAATCCTATGAAATATTTATGAACGAGTACAAGTAAAAGAAAATTTAATTGAAGAGCATGGTAAACTTTGTATCTCATAAATAAAGATAATTATGCAAGATTATTTTGGTTTATATATGTACTTCTTTCTGCAAATACTAAGGTTCTTAAGCCGACACTAAAATTTCTCAATTAAGCGGAAATGTACAATTTACCTTGCCACTCAATTACTTTGTTTTTCTTTGGCAGCTTATTAAATGTCATATTTTGCATGCCCAGGAGCAAGGCAAAGCCCCTGTGACTACGGAAATGTTGATGTTTGCACGGGCGAAACACCTTGCAGCCGAGAGACCGCCTGACCCGAGATCATCTAATTGAATGACAATATTATGCCAAGGCCTAATTCAATTTGCATTGCTTGGGAATCGCTGCAGGTGGAGGAGCTCGAACATGGCCTGAATCTTAAACAAACACGGCAATTACAGCAAACGGATGCACTTGTCTGGCCAAATGACTTGGGCCTGTAATTAGCCCGGAGATGAAAGGATGCGGGATGGGTTCATATACGCCCTTTTTGTTGGCCTTTTGTCGGCCTTCTCGGGGGTCCCGGCTAATTATCACATTTTTACTCATTAAATTCACATTTGCCTGTTTTTTCTTTGTTTTTTCCCGTATTTTTGGCAGGTCCTGCGTTGATCCTGCTGCCTAATTACGGGGTAATCAGGCTTTCAGCCGCTCTGGCTACTGAATGATGATTGATTGTGGCGGTGGAATATGCTAAAAACAACCAGAAAACTTCCCCACTTAACTCATTTTCATTCCAGGTGACATCTGCCGAAGCGCGTGCCAAAGAAAAGGGGCGAGGAAAGTGCAAACAGCAGCTGAAATGGATATGGAAAGCAGCCAAGGAAAAAGCAAATCGAAAACTGATTTGGAGCGGAAGTTCGTTTGCACCTTTCTGCAGTTTCCTGTATTTGCCGCCGCCGTCAGAACAATAAAAACACACACAAGCCACTTCCATATCCACAATCGCAATCAGAATCGTCGAGTGTTCTATATACCTTAACTTGTCTTGGCCTTTGACTTCGTCTTTTGTACTAAGAGAGTTGAGATGGGAACGAAGTCACCGCCCGTTGGCTTTTGAATGAGCTGCAAATCAAAAGCTATATGCGATTTCACACAAGTAAGGATAAGGATATGCGTGTGCACGCAGAGAAATTTACTTTTTAACAAGATAAGTGGTTAATAACTAAAAATGGTAAGGAATTCAGCTTAATGTGATGTACTTTTGTTGGTTTTTAAATGATATTAAAATGGTCGGGTTCGTATGGGCCTTTCTCCCCTTCTTGTAATTTAAAGATCACTATAAAGTATATGAATAAGATATTAAATAAACCAATTTTTGTGTACATTGTACCAAAAAGTATGTATAACATTTACTTTGCAGTAGCAGTTATAAATACGAACTATTTAACCTTAGTATAGCTGGGATATTTATTATAAGGTATAAGCTTTATGAAGATTTTCCCGAGACATATTGAACATTGTTTCCAACTTTAAGATCCAAATTTCTTTCTATGTATGCAAAAGCAAGGAGCAACGATCCCTGGCAGCTGCTCCTTCGGAACGCTGTATTTGATTTGCGATTCGAGGCAGGCGGAAATGGAATGACACGCGAGGCACTCTTACTTTGTTTGAGGATTGGCAAAAATGGTGCCTCCATTGCCTCCGACAAAAACCGAAAAAAAACAAGGAACCAAGAACCCGCCGTAAGAGACTTCCACTTGAGCCTCACGCATTGTTTGCGCTGCGTGCCGAAGGGGCGTGCTGGAAATCGGATATAGGATCGTTCGGGACAATCAAATAGCGCAGAGAGTTTTCCAACCCACTGAGCAGCCGCAATCGTTAGAGAATCAGCTGCCGATTGGAAGACTATATAGCGATGAGGTGCCAACCCGAGCCACGCGTGTCCTAAGCGCAATGGTCAAAATTGGACACTGGCCGTCTCATTAGCGCACCAAAGGTTGGAAGGTTAATGATGCGCACCCCGTGCTTGGGCTTCCGTCTGCTACTCCACCTCCACACGCAATTATGCGACGCACTTGAGCTTGAAGGGCCATGGAGCAGGGGAGTGCACACAAAGAAAAACAGGGGTCAAACTGACCAAAAAATGCTAAGCATAAATTTCTGATGATATAGATGTAAGTAACTGTATAATTGTAACTCATATGTAACTCAGAAATCATATGATTTGGGAATATCTTAAATAGAATAAAATTTTGACGCACTTGTACACTAACCAAACTCAAAATATTTAGTTGGGAATTGTAAGCGACGTTTCTGCGATGAAAAGTTCTTCAAAGAAAAACAGTTTCATTACCCTATCCAAAGTAATTTAATCTATACAACAATAATTTTGATTAAGTTATGCAAAGAAAGCGAATTGCATAAATTTAAATACTTTTTTTTTAGTGTGTATATGTAGGAGGAATGCAGTTTGTTCATTCATTGACCCCGGCTAGTAGCTCGGGTTTTATGGTGTCGTCGTAAATGTCAGGTGCGCACCCCATTTAAATTTATTCAACGTAATTAGTTGTCTCCCTGTAAAGTAAGTGTCTCTGTGAATAGTGAATAAAGTGGCAGCCCACGAATCTAATTTGATTGCCAGCTACAAGTTTTTCTTCCGCTTGCCCAAAAATTCGATTTCCCCTGTTGTAGATAAATTTTGTGGCGCGGATTATACGACATATAAACCATATAAATGGGACACAACACCTGCAGGTGGAAAAAACATGCAAAAATAATCATTGCGAGATATGTGAACGGGACATGACGCCGCAGGATGCCAA